ATAATCTTTGTAAGAAATTATATGTGAAAATGTCTTAAAATGTCTTCTATGTGCTTGAGGATAGGTTGTACTCCAAGAGAGAGTACTAGGAAAATTATCATGAATGTTATATGAGCTTTGTGACAGGTTATGGTCACAGGTCCCGAAATAAGGGACTCAATTACAGGTCCATTGGCGACAACTATTAGGATGGTACTTCTCATAGATAGCAGTTGTGACTTGCATAATAAGACAACAACATGATAATGATTTGTTCTCTGGTGGTTTTAAGGAGTTTGCTTTATGCTAAATAGGGGTATTAAATCCCCATATGTTTTAGAATCTCCTTTTAAGCTAGCTATGTGCTAAAAATATTAAAATAGCTTTGTTCTAGTTATTGTATGTAAATTTCGATTCATAGAGTTATTATGACTTGCTAGATGAATATAAGGTTTTAAACTTATAATGAATTATGTTACTACGTCAAAATCCATGTAGCTCACAAGTCTTCAGACTTACTTGTTTTTTGCTATGTACTCACGTATGGAAATTAAAGTCAGAATCCACTGCTAGATATGACTCCAATGGAATCATAAAAGATTAAATAATCCTTTTTTTACTATGATTGTTGGTATTGGTTTGTAACAACATAAGTTGTGAACTTTGACAAAGAATTTGAATGTTTTTGTAAAATTGCATTTTCATTATTATGAAATGATGTTTTAAAAGTAGGGTGTTACATATTGATTCCTATATATGTGTTAGGAAAAATAACTAGTAATTAACCAATGAAAGGCATATATTTCCATGTATATGTTTTCGTAATGGCTAATAGTTAACCATATATAAGTATGGATTCTCTATATGTAATAGAGTAATAAGCTTGTTGTAACAGCCAGATTTCCAGGTATATTATTTAATTTAATTATTTTGGAGTTTGTGGAGGAACTCGGCGAGTTGGAGCCAAGACTTGCTGAGTAGGGTCGCGGATGTTCATCCGAGATCACGTCCGGACTCGGTAAGTCCATTTATGGACTCGGCGAGTCCATGTTGTTTAATGAAACCCTAATCCCTCGGGTTTGGAGCCTATTTAAGGGCACTTATAGCCTCTCATTGCGGCTACCAATACCTTGAGAGAAACCTAAGTGAGCCAAATCGTTGTGAGGAAGAAGAAGTCACTTTTGATCCTTGTACCTTTGGTTTAGCAAGAAGGAGGTGAACAAGAGCAAAGGGGAGGTGCGATTCTAGCAGTTCCAGAGTTCAGAGACTTCATTTTGAGGTAATAGTTCGAACCTCCTTCAGTTTTGGTGTTGATCATTAGAGTTAGGATTTTCTAACCCCTTTGGAGAGTGATTATGTGGAGCAAATGGTCCCTCTTCGAGTTTGTGCCTTGGATCTGGACTCAAAGAGGTCCAGAGACCTTAACCCTTGGAGCTTTATGAATCAGTTTGGGGTTATTGGACTTAGGTTGCCATTTTTGGGACTAAATCTCCTTTTGATGCATTGTTGTTGTTATACAAGCATCAAGTTTTGAGCTTTACGTGACATTCATGCTTCGGAAGGCCAGATCTTTGATTTAGGGAAACAGATCTGACCTCAGGAGGCCAGTAGAGTTTGTGCATGGCATGAACTCGCCGAGTTGTTCCTGAGACTCGGCGAGTAGGGTTAGGGTTTCATGTAAATTGCTTAGTCAGTAGGCTTGCCGAGTTGGGGGATGACTCAGTGAGTCAGAAGGGAGTTAGAGGACTGGAGTTAAAGGCGGTACTCGCCGAGTTGTTCTTGAGACTCGACGAGTTGAGTCGTGGTGGCCCCGTGATTCATGCCTAGTATGACTTGTCAAGCATAGGGAGGGACTCGGCGTGCCAAGCGGGACAAAGTGTTAGAGAACATGTGTGAACTCGCCGAGTCACCAGGGTGCACTCGGCGAGTAGGTCAAAGTGTGACCGTTGACTTTTAGGGTTTGGTCAATGGAGTACTTATGTCGAGAGGGGGGTAAAATAGCCTTTTACCCTCCTGAGGGTGCCAATGGCAGGACGAGTCTAGTTTCGAGATTTATATTTATAAAAGTATTTACTTTATGTGAATAGGCGGAGACTAGGAAATATTTCTATCGAGTCAGAGATTTACTGAGACGCCTAAGGTGAGTCTTCTCACTATACTTTACCTAGTGTGGTAACAGAGTTATGTGATAGAGTATTTTAGAGTTATATGCCAATGTAATTGCATGTTATTTATGTGCTATGATTTATTGTGATATGTGCTATGTATGAATAAGAGTTAGGACCTTCGGGTCCACAGAGTTAGGACCTTTGGGTTCACAGAGTTAGGGCAAGAGGGCCCTTAGAGAGTTGGGGCTGAAGGGCCCCACTGAGACACATAGACCTGAGGGTCAACAGAGTTACAACCTCGAGTGACTATTATGTGTTAGAGTGGTATTTTGGGGAACTCACTAAGCATTTATGCTTACAGTGTTATGTGTTATGTGTTTCAGGTACCAGTGATGATCGCGGGAAGGCGCCGGCATGATTCGTACACACGCACACCGGAGTATATATATATATATATATATATATATATATATATATATATATATATATATATATATATATAGATCTTGGGTTTTGTACTAATACAATGTTGATACAATGTTTTATTTATGATTTCAAATGATATCTTATGGGTTACAAAGTGAAAAAAAATTGTTCAAATTTTTTTACGGTGTTACACTTGTAGTTGACCAACAAGGGGATTTAGACTCTCCATATGTGACAACACAAGCTATGAATTTATGTTTTTTATTGGGTTCATGAATTGTTTAAGTTTATGATTATCTTAAGCATTATGTATCAAATTATTCCAACTAGGTATAAACCCATGTATCTCACAAGTATTTTAATTTATGTGTGTTTTTCTTAAATGTACTTAGTACTCATGTTTAGGAGTTACATGCTAGAAGCTCATATGCTAGTGAAGACAGTTGTTAGATGTAGCTCAAGAGTTGTGTCATATAATCTTTTCCCTTTAATATGAGTGTTGAAATTATTGTTGTAACACCAAAAGTTTGTAAACTCTTATAAAGATTTTAAAGGTTTTTGTAAAACCGTATTTTCATCGTGATTATATGTCATAATAAACATACAATCATAATATTTTATTGATTTTAAAATTATGGTGGCTAGACTTTGCTTTGTCAAGATGGGTTGAAGTGTAGAATGATTTACTTGGATATATCTAGGTTCAAATGTTCATATCAGTAAATTTGTCTAGAACGAGTTATGAAAGTGGTTGAGCATCAACCCTTTTTGGATCACATACTTTTTCATTCATTAATGAACTAAATTATTTTATGAAAACCTACACTGCTCCTTGAAGAGTAACATGGGTTTGTCTTGAATATGTTCTTTATGTTTTTTTTACATGAGTTTGCACTGTGATGTATCAATGTTGCAATATTCTAACAACAAACACAATCTTAACCAAGTTGAAAAAGTCCTAAATGATGGCAATCCGACTAGCTGAAAGGAATTTTTGGACATTGTGTTTGGATTGAGGACCCTGACAGAACCCCTAACATCATAATGATATGGATTTTTTTTATGCCATTTTTTGTATTAAAATACGATATAGAATATAAAATTAATGTAGAAAAGTTATTAGGAAAATTAAGACACAAAGATAAATACAAACAGGGATCAACATACGTCCCATTCAACCGGAAAAGAAATGGAACCGGACCAGACAGAATCCGATAGTCATATTAGTGAGCCGGTTTTCGGATTTTATTTTTACCAATAATCAGGTTTCGGGTTTGGAATGGACCGGACCGAAAAACCAAGGTTAATTCTATATATATATATATATATATATTATATATATATATATATATATATATATATATATATATTAAAACCACATAGATATTTTTGTGACAATTTTTTTTTTAAAACTAAACATGCAATTTTTAAAAATCAAACCAACCAAACATGTAATTTACTCTAAATATTAATTTTTATAAAACCAAAGTAGATAAATAGTATCCACCTTTTACAAAAAAGTCATGTATTTAGTCTCTAATATTTGTTTTTTGGGTGAAGATGGTGTATATGTGATTTTAAATTCTTGCGATTGGTCCTTGTGGTTTTGTAGCTGGAACCGGATCAGACCGGACCCAATACACCCTAAACCAACCTGGTTTTTGGGTAAAATAATTCACGATTTCTAGTCTTCGGGTTTTCGGTTTTAGGGTCGGTTCGGTCCGGGGGTGGATGCAAAAATATATACTAGGTGTTGCCGAGGTTAAAATAGGAGTTGCCGGTGTAGGAAAAATAGCTAAAAAAAATCAAAAAATTTTCTACTGCGTATAGAAAAAATAAATGTTGTCGGTGTCAAACCGAGACACCTACTAAAACCGCCAATTGTCCAACCCGTTGCTCATCCGTAAATATAATAGTCGAGAATACAAAATTTTGTATTCAAGATCACGAAGTTTGAAAGTTGTGAACTCAAAATATGCCGATAATACAATATTAGACAATTATTTTATTATTATTATTATTATTATTATTATTATTATTTTATATATATATATATATATATATATATATATATATATATATATATATATATATATATATATATATATATATATTATGGATATTGTATCTTACCAATAGTAAAATATCATAATTTTTGTCTATTGCCGTCCCTATACTTCCGTTTCTTGCATTGGTTCTTTGTTATTTCCTTATGTTTTGGTTTGTTTCTCATTTTATTGCTTCTTTGTCGTATATGCGCATCTCCTATTCATTTCTTTTTTGGTTTCTAAATATTTCTTTATTTTCCATATGTTTCCCTTTCTTTTATCCGTATGTAAATCCTTTTCTTTTATCCTTCACTTTCATTCTTCTACCTCCTTCCTGCTCTCTCTTTGAGGTAATATTCTTCTGTTTTTTTTTTGTTTGCTTCTTTTGCTGTGATTTTTCGTTCCGGCTGTTGTTGCTGTGTTGTGTGTTTATTTTGTCATGGCTGTTCCGTCAAAACGGAGAGCTGATGACGGTGGTTCGTCGTCTGTTCCTCCCTCTGTCAGTTGTCGGCGTAGGTCTCGACGTTTACAACCATTATCTCTTCTTCCCGACTACATGGATTGTGGTGATTGTACGTGTGTTTGTGCCTACTGCGGTGCATTGCTCTGGTACATTGAGAGAGTCGTTAATACATCTACAGCTGATCCTCCCAGATATAATCATTGTTGTAGAGGTGGAGATGTTGTACTTCCTTATCCTTCCATGTTTCCAACCGACTTTGTTGCTCTGTATCAAAATTCGCGTTTTTTAAGGGATATTAGGGCTTATAACAGCATGTTTTCTATGACTTCTTTTGGGGCAAACGTAGATGAGGATGTGAATGATAACCGTGGTCCTTATGTTTTTAAGATATCTGGTCATATTAGCCACAAGATTGGGTCCCTCTGTCCGGATCCTATAAAGGGTCTGAGGTTTCTGTAACTATACCTCTTTGATACTGGGAACGAAGTAGAGAACAGATTGAGGCCTTTTGATCATCCTTCAAAGAGCGGTTTAGATTGTAACATTGTCAGCTATCTGGTCAACTTTTTGGGGGTTAATAACGAATATGTGCGCACCTTCAAGACTGCAAAACAAATAGCAGAAGAAAGTAATTTACAGTCATATGCGGTGCAACTGTTTAACAATGTTGCGGATCGTAGGTATGATTTGCCTTCGTCTGGGTCTTTGGGTTGTATAGTAACTGGTGATGACACAATCTCTACAACATATAACATCATTATCCATTCGCAATCGGGTCGGCCTCAACGTATCAGTAAGCTGCATCCAAGCTATATGCCATTACAATACCCGCTTTTGTTTCCATATGGTGAAGAAGGTTGGTCACCCCGTTTGAAAATTGGAAATAGGATTGGTGCAACAGCTCGAAATCTTACCGTCAATATGTATTATGCCTATCAAATTCATGCCCGTCAGCATATCTGGTCTCCTATTGTAAACTCATCTCGGCTCTTTCAACAATATTTGGTTGATGCATACACATGTATAGAAGAATGTCGTCTTGATTACATTGTAAAACATCAAACTAATCTTCGGTCTGATTATGTTAGCGGCCTATATGATGCGCTTTCGAAGGGAGATAGGGAGGCAAGTGTTGTTGGCAAACGTGTATTCTTACCAGCATCATTTACCGGTGGTCCCCGATTCATTTATAGTCATTATCAAGATGCACTTTCTATATGTAGGGTGTATGGCAATCCACAATACTTTATTACTTTTACATGTAATGTGAAATGGCCAGAAATAACTCGGTACATGGATACACATATGCAAGGAGATGTTCACAGCAGAGCTGATATCATTGCTAGAGTGTTCAACATCAAGGTTCATGAGTTTGTTCGGTTTCTAAAACAGGACAAAACCTTTGGCGAGGTTGAAGCATGTATGTTTTCGATTTCATATTCCTTTCATGTACGGATTATTTATCATACATATAATACTTTCCAAATCCGCCTCTTTATAGATATGTTACCATTTGTCTTTCAATTTTTGTAATGAACGGTTACCATATTTTTTAATATTTGTTTTTACCTATGTTTATTAATGTTTTTTGGTTATTGTTTCTTACAGCTTCAAGTTCCATGTTATTATCATTTGATAAAAATGTTTACTTTACGCTATCATATGGTTTCATTCTTATCCATGAAGATTTCACTTAACACACATGTTTCCCAATGTACTCGATGAGTTGATGCTTTCAAGCACACCTATCTACTCATATTATTATTTGTATTTGGTGGAAGCAAACCGATCCGGCCTTAGTTATACTCGTATTAAAGGGTAAAACATCAAAAAAAAAAAAAAAAAAAAAAAAAAAAAAAAAAAAAAACCCTGAAACTACCATGTAAATATAACTAGGGTGACGATCCTAACTCAAACGTGCCGATTCAACCCGAAGCCAACCTAATAAACATGTTGGGTTGAAATTTTTAACTCATTTAGTTAAATGGATCAACACGTTTAACCTGTTAATTAAATGTGTTGAGTTAGGGTTGAAACTCTTAACCCGTTTACAACCTGCCAATACATTTAATATTTTTAAATGTTTTTTTATTTATATTTATAATTTTATAATTTAGTTGATTTGTGTTTATGTTATAGGCTTATAAAATTATTGTAGTATTATTTTCAAACTTGAACAATTATTATATCTTTTAAATTTTATGTAATTTTATTTAATGGATTATTTGATATTTAAGAGGTTTTTTTGTGAAAATTTAAACATGCATGTTTAGTAAATATATTGGGTTGGAAAAATAATAAACAAATCAATGATTTCAATCAATTTACTATAAAGGTTAGGTTGGGTTGGAAACCCTCAAACCATTTATTTAAATAGGTCGGTTGGATAGAAATTTTCAATCCATTTAATTAAACATCTCAATCCATTTATGATCCAACCTAATACATTGCCTTTATGAATAATTTTTTCTTTTTCCAAAAATCACAAAAAATATAATGGCATGGGTCAAAGCCTTTAAGGATGGAGACCATTTCTTCCTCAATTGTTCATTTTTTAACTGGTCTTAAACTGAACCTTGATTTAAAGGATATCTTATGAGGAAATTTTATGTTATTGTTCCTTCTGTTTGTAATAAGTGCGTTTTTTATTTTCTATTTCAAAATCACAAGAAAAAACACATGTTCTATATGGAGCTTTTGGGAGCATTTAACATTTAGGTTGTGTTTGGCGCGACACAGCTAGCTGATAAGCTAGCTTAATTTTCGAGCTTTTTTATGTTGTCGTGTTTGGTAAGCCAAAAAGTAACTTATAAGCTAGCTTTTTGAAAAGCTACTTAGATTAACTTTTTAGAAGCTTTTTTAAAATTTTCCAAATACACCCCTTAATTAATTATAGAAACACATATTCTTACATGTTTTTTTATGTAATTTTATATATGTCAGCTAGCTTTTCAGCTAGTTTTACCAAACGTTATTTTTTATCAGCTAGCTTTTTATTTAACAGCTAGCTTTTCAGCTAACAGCTAGCTTTTCAGCTAGTCCGCCAAACATAGCCTTAGTTTTTAGAAAAATGCTCGAAAAAAAAACAAAAAATATTGTTCGCAAATAAAAGTTTTTAACATATATTTTAAACAAAAAATTCATAATCTAAAAAGTACTTCAACATTTAACAAAAACCTCATATCTATTTTAACAAATTTACAAGATTACCCTACAAATATAAGTTGTATATTTACTTGATTAAAGAGTGTTCTTTTTATCTAATTTACATATACAAATAAATGTTATAACTTTCAGCTTTTCAGGTTCTAGCTACCAAGCACCAGACACCAGACACCAGGTCAGACACCAAGCTACCGGCTACCAACTACCGATCATTAGCTAGTGGCTACCGACTATCAGTTTCTAGCTTTCAACTAGTTTTGTCAAACACGTCTAAATACTTTTTCACCTAATTGATTTTCTATTTTTATTTAACTTGTTTATTTAAAGAAATTACACAACCAAACAAAAACACACTTACTTTGATTAATAATATCCACTTATTCAATTTTATATTTATCTATATAAACAAAAAAGAGTTTGTAGTGTAACTCAATCTTCTCATCATGATGAATGTCAATTGAGGGCAACCTTATCCACTAATTAATTGTTTACGATTGACATGATATGGTGGGTGTTTATTTATCAATATTATACCATTGAATAATAAGACTGATAATATGAAAATTGGATAAGGAAATGACTACATCTCTTTCGCATTTTAGTTTTAGATAATAAGAATAAGAAATTAATTATTGGATAAGGAAATGACTACATCTCTTTCGCATTTTAGTTTTAGATAATAAGAATAAGAAATTAATTATATAAGCAGTTGGTAAAACGGTGCTTTCATATACAATACTTAACACATTTTTTTATTATAACCAATGTAAAATTATTCTTTTCAAATGGATGTGATTTCATGCTTTGAAACGGCATGATGCTATGCATATGACATAATCTTGTTTCTTTCAATTATTTATTTATTTATTTTTTTAGCTATTTGTTAGAATATATAGTTTTCTTAACCACCCCAACTTGCTCTTAACTTTCATGTTTGAAGTCTTAGGTTCGATACACACTACACATCATAAGATTTCCCGAATCTATGTTACTATGGAAAAAACTTGTAAGCTGTAATTCAGGAGATGACAGTTACATGATTAATTAACTCATTCTAAATCATTTTCTACGTAACCAAAATGTACTACTTTACATAACAAATTAAAGACATCGATCATAGATCAGCTTATTTCAATCTCCTCTTCCTCTTCGATTGTTTCACCTTTGAACATTTTGACGCTAATTGCATTTAACATCACTCTTGAATACTGTCGAGATGCCATCTTCCAGTCCATCCCTGTCGTCATCATCGCTGCAAACTCCGGGTAACTGATCCTACCATCCTACAACACATTCAAATTGGAATCAATACATTTCCAGGTTACTTTGAGTATTGTACATAGAATATGTTGTTCTCTCAATCATTAAATTACCTTATCAAGGTCGGCATCATGTATGATATCATGGACAAGCTTTTCGTTGTATGAATTTTGGTGTTCTTCAAACAAAGACTCTCGTAACTCATCATACTCAATGTACCCATTGTTGTCCTTGTCAAAATGGTGGAAAGCTTGGCGTAGATGATCATCATTGCTGATCCGTTTCAAGTGAACTGCAACTATCATAAACTCCTCACAGTTCAGGACCCCATTTTCATCAAGATCGGCCTTCAATCAAGTATGCGGATTGTAAGCTATACGACTTTGGTGAATTAATTATATGAATCAAAAGTGGTACTTACAGCTTCCATTAGCATCTGAACATCAGGATCAGCAAGCGGTTGTTCTCCAATCGTACACAAACCATCTTTAAGCTCTTCGAAGGTGAGTGATCCATTCTTGTCCTTGTCCATATCATCAAACATTTGTTTTAATCCATGTACTTGTTCATCTGGCAAGTTTTCTGCTACCACCTGAGTTCAAACCCTAAAAAGGTCAGACACTTTGACTTTTTATGATAACAAGGATGTCATTTGTTATTCACTTATTTGCTATCAACATAGTCAATGTTTTGTATTGTATCCAAAATAACAACATATTTATAATTTTTCCATGATAGTACGTAGTTCAATACTAATAAGATGTACTTTATTTTGACCCATAAGAACAAACACACTTTATATTTATTTATTTATTTGTTGTGTTTTAACTATAATATAGCAATTAAGCAGCTTACAAGTCGCTACTATCATAAAAAAAAATATAAGTACGTTATTGTAAAGAATATAAATATTTTATTATTATGGATAAAACTAAAATACAACATTGATAGGAAAAGTAAATTAGGTTGCTATTTTTTTAAAATCTTCCAATGAAAAATAAGTAAAAGAACTTACCCTAATTACTTTCCTTTTGAATTTGTTCATCAAAGAGAATTGTTGAATTCTTGCTCGTACGTGTTCTCCCAAAGGAATGTTGGGAACCTTGTGGGCATTTTGAATCCATTTGTTTTCTATGATCACATAAGAAGGTCGTATTACTAGTTTCCGCAGTTGAATGTACAATATAATAAGCATGAAGTACATACCGAGGACCTCTTCCACAGTGAGCCGATCATATGGATTTTGGTCGAGCATTCCCCTTATGATGTTTATGGCATCTTCGGAGACCCTTGGCCAAGGGTCCCTTTCAAAGTTTATGTCACCCTTGATTATTGCTTGTGCAATTCCTTCTTCGGTCTCTGTAACAAGAAACTTTCTATATGTTCAATTTACAGATAACAATAATCTACCGAATAAGTTTATTTATTTCAATTACAAAACCTCAAATGATGCACACTCATATATGGAATCTAGTTTCTTCACACCGAATTTGGCGAGATATATAGGCTCTGAACATGTAAATGGTGGTCAAAACATAAATTTATAGGCTTTTAACATATAAATGGTGGTCAAAACATAAAGATCATTGTTTCATTTATTCTAAATCTTTTCACTAGAGCTGGAGAAAATCAATCCAATCCAAACCTAACCCAAAATTAGCAGGTTGGTTAAATTTTTCAACCCATTTAACTTAAATGAGTCAACCCGTCTAACCCATTTAATTAAATAGGTTGGGTTCGATAAAAAATATTAACTTGTTTTCAAACCGTCAACACATTTAACTTTTATATATATATATATATATATATATATATATATATATATATATATATAATATATATATATATATATATATATATAATCTTATATTAATTAAATATCATCATGTATTAATCAAAGTATTAATTTGTAAATTATAATGTTGCATTATTATTTTCTATGTTTAATAAAATTCACTCCTAATTTTCATCATTTTTTTAACGTCGATAATACTGATCACTCTCCAGAATCACTGTGAATATAAACATTTTTAATGTTATTTGAACAATTTATTTGTATTTATAAATTAAGATTGTGCTTTTTCATAATTATGAAGTTTTATTTATGTTTAATAATTTAAGTGGTATAATATTTAATTATATAATATATTCAATTGATTTTAAATGGGTTAACCCAAGTTTAACCCATTTATCTAATAGGTTGGATCAGAAACTAGATACACAGGATAACCTAGTGACAATCCATTTATTTAAAAGGTTGGGTTGGGTTGGA